ATCTACATCTTTACTGAGAAAGGAAGGTCATTTCTTTCTGGTCACCGACTATACTTTTATTGTGGAGCTCGTCAGCTCTGGTGGACTTCAGCCTGTTCTGTTTGTCCTCAGTCTTGAAGCCTCCAGTTGGGTTTTCCCTCACGGTCCTCTCTCTCTGTTCTCATGTTTGTTCCCAAGGTGTTCCTGTGTCACTTGGTTTTACTATGTCTACTAGAGGCGGCTGGTTCTTGGGCTCACTGCTCTTCCTCTTCATTAGAGCTGGTGTATCCCACAAAGACTCTCTTCTAGAGGCAGAGCAGTGCCAAGGGACCATGCCAGGATGGGACCCCCACCGAGTTCCTTCCTGGCCCTTTCTTCATGGTAACTAGAGGCCCCATCTCCCGAGAACACTTTTACTTTAGCAGCAGTTGTGCTGATTGAAAGGTTGGAGGGACTTGAGGGTCAGGGTTGGGGGATAAGGAAGCAATAATTCACTTGAAGTTTTGTCGACATTTGAGTGTTCTGGATCTGCCTCATATCTATCTTTCATACCCTCTGCTTTCCTCCCTTCCTTCTCTTGTCTTTCCCTTTCCATATTCCTGTCCCTTCTTCATTTTCTTTCTTCTTTCCTGATTTCCTTCTTTCATCATTTTTACTCCCAATAATAAGAATTGTGTTTGCATGGGGTTAGCCTGTTCTACCTTCTTCTGCTAGCCTGAGGCTCAGAAGTGAATGGATTTGTCCAGGGTAGGCAGCTGAATGCATAAGAGAACAGCTGAATGTCCAGGTGCCTGGGCCAGGGCACCACAGATGATGCCACCCACACTGACCTCCCTTCTCCTGCTTCTCCCACCACCAAGCAGTGTGGACCACGGGCAGATGTGTGACGAAGGCAGCATGCAGTCTCTTTCCATACTCCCTACTTCCACTGCCACTCATTACCTCTAGGAGAAGTTGGGATCAAGATTTTCATGCCCATTAGAATATGGTGTGTGTGTGTGTGTGTGTGTGTGTGTGTATGTGTGTGTGTGTGTGTGTTATAAAGTCATTGACCCCAAGGTGCAGCCTGCCAAGAAGACTTAAAGCAGAAATAATTACTGCTGGGTTGTCTTCACAGCCATTTCCAGGGGCTGTTGGAGAGTGCAGAAGGACAGTGTTCAGGAGGACGCAATAGGCGAGAGGTCTCTGTGATTCTCCACAGCTTGAAGAGTCACAGTGGAGATGGCTTCCTTATCACCAAGAATAGAGCCTTAGGGAAACGGAGGCACCTCTGCTGGCGGAGTTGGACACATGTAGCTGGAGGGAGGAGGTGCCTTGTGTCTCTGCACAGTGAATTCCCACCTGCTTATGAGCAGTCTTCTCCCCTGTCCCCTTCTAGCCAGTCACATAAAGACCCCAAATCTCAAAGTGCATTTTTATTATTTTTTAATAAACTTTATTCTATATTACAAATAAGTTTTTTGTTCTGAACTGCAAAATAGGAATGCCTTATATTTACATACACAGGTATACAATTAATTATAACAAAGGTACAGAAGCTTGCCTTTACCAAGTTACAACTGGGCTCCAATTTAAATAGCATAGGTTTTCTTTTTAAAAACTTTGTTAAAATCTTTTTTAAATCTTATTAGGATACTCTTCTTTAAAAACCAAAACCAGAAGACCTTTATTTTTCACATAGGTCTCAACCAACTGTCTTTGAGGCTCATGTTTAACACTGTTGTCTAAAGGTATGTTTTGCTGTGTTTTAACAGGGTCAGTGTTCAAGGTGGGAGCTTTATTTTGGAACAGAAATGGGGTGGGGCAGGAAGGGGGTAACTGGAACAGAAATGATTTCTTCTACTTCCTTCAGTAGCCTCTTTCTGAGACTCAAAGACCTCTGCCAGTTCCTTAAAACACCCATGCACCCATTCCTGTATTTCCACTTCCCCTCTAGGATTTAGGGTTTCATTCTGGGTCATCTGACCAGGCTAGAACCCCTGCTGTCCCCCTACACCTCAACCCACTGAGCCATTGTCTGTTGCGGTACCTTGGAGTTGCTGGTTGCTATGGTAACTCGGGAGGACCCTGTTGGAAGAGAGAGGCTAGTCCCTACAAGACAGTGTAGGGAGGAAGGCAGCTGCATTCAATCCTTTTTTCCCACTTCAGGGTCTGGAAGCCTTGTTCTCACTCAGAGCAGCGAACATGGGACTAAGCCAGAACCTCGTGCCCGAGAACACCAAGTCTAGGCAGAGGGGGCTGGAGGGGAGGGTCATTCACCCCAAAACACAAAGCCATTAGTTTCCAAATGGAAACAAGATTCTTTGAGGTAAACTAGCTTTTCTGTTAAAGAATGAATGGTTTAATATCCCAGCGAGATGACAAGAGCATTCAGGAAAGGAGTGGGAAGGAGAGCAGATGAGGACACGCCGCCCATCTTCATTCTGTGCCCAGATGCTCACTGTCCTCTGCACGCGAAAGCGTTCATTTATCTTGTTTGCTAAAGTGGTCTTGGGTTTTGAAGTGGCTTTTGGGTTGCTGTTTAACTGTATCCTCTGTTTTGAATTTTACTCATAAGGGAGCCCTTCCAAAATGTGCTTGAGTTGAAGTTCAAAGATAATAACAAAAGAAATCAAAGGAAAATCAGCTGCATAGGCAGAGTCTATCTGATTTTCATTCTTGGGGAGGGAGAACTCAGTTCCCCCCGGACAGGGATTCTCTATAGGGACAGGGATTCTCTGCAATTTGAGGGAACTGATAAAATTGTGTAGGATTCAGTAACTTCAGGGGCACCTCAGAGAGTCAAGACTAGACACGAGCTCAAAGAGGGAGAAGAGACCAGATGAGACTCCCCAGCTAAGGACCTCTGGCACCCCTGGGCAACCTCACTACCTCTGCCAGCATGAACAGAAGGTTCTTTTTGTTCCTAAAGGATTTTGTTTTGCTTTGTTTAAATTTGCTTTCTATTAGTCATCAGTCTAATGAAGGAATTTAATTGGAACTCTAATGAGTATGTATTACTTTTATAACCAAAAATTCTATATATTTTAAAAACTTGGATATTTTCCCTAATAAAAAAGTTTTATTGGGAAAAATGATTTATAGTAAAGAAGTAAAGAAAAGAAAAAGTCTCTCTTCATATCTGAAACTCTTCTTGCAGTGATTACTTTCTGGACAGGAGGAATGGTCAGATACACAGGCTAGGGCTCTGCACTGCACCAGAGCACCATGGGACAAGAGGCTGATGGCGTCCTAGCCTCTGTGAGGAGTTGCCTCATCAGGGTCACTTGTGGGTGTCCCCTTGTGAGACAAAGCTGTAGTTTGCTCTGTGCAGAACAACTTTGGGTGGGGTGGTGGGAAGAGGAGGGAGAAGGACATCAGGACCACTTTGTCAAAAGAGCAGGGAGAGAGTCTTTGCAGCCAGACAGGAAGCATCCCCTGGCACATCTACCATGGGAAATCACCTGGATCCTTCCTTTATTAATAGGGTAGGTCACCCTTGGCCCTTGAGGCTCTCCTCATCTTCTCTGGAGTCACAGGTGTCCTTGCTTCCAGTGATTTAGACATTGTACCCACACCCAGGCTTCTTCCTTACTTTCAAACTCTTAAAGTATACAAAGAAAAACCAAAGAATGAAATTCTAAATAAACAGCCCCACAGAATTTTGAAAAGAAAGAATGAAGGGGTAGGAGTCCTTCAGTTACCTATCCTAAGGGGCTTTTGGGAGGAGGCCCTTTATATGACAAGAAACAAGAGGAAAGACCCAGGAGGAGGCAGGGTAGTGACCCACCTAGACCTAGTGGGCCCCTGGAGGTCACGCACTCCATCCCTCCCAGATATGGTCTGCAGAGGCCTCTGGGAGCTTGCTGGGGCTGCTCTGTGGTGGTGGTTCCTGGGAGGGATGTGAGCAGGTGCCCTGGTCTTCTGTTTGCAGGGTGGCTCCCTAAGTCAGTCTTTCTTCCCTCCTTGGCCTCCTATGAGAAAGGGAGAAGGTTGCTCCTGAGGGTGGGAACACCAGCTCTTCGCTCAGCTAGACATTGACAGCATGCTGTGAAGTCAGAGGCAGTGTTTCTCCAGTCCTGGGAATGAAGACAGATGGCCATGGGGCTTCCCTTTTTAGGTCAAAGCGAAAGGTGCTTAGATCCAAGTGGAACACAGCACCATGTGGGCCCTAGTAACGGGGCAGAGGCTCACTTGTTGAAGTGGGAGTCATTTGGGATGTCACTGTGGAGGCTGCATGGGTCCTCCATTGGGGGCTCCAAGGCCTTGGCAGGATGAGGGTGCCTTGCCATTCAGAGGCAGCTGTGAGCGGGTGGGCTAGGCTGGGCTGGAGCAGGCCCAGAGGGCTTGAGGAGGCTGAGTTGCTCCTGTTGTGGGGGCAATAGGAGGCCCTTGTGTGGAGTTCCACGTACAGGAAGGACAAGGAGGAACAGAGAGGATCCCCACAACCTGCAGCGAGACACAAGCAGCAGCCACACATTCAGTGGGGCACACGAGTACCAGGGATGCCAAGCTGGGGAGGTACTGCGACAGTACACTGACGCCAGCCTCGGGCTGGGAGTGGGAAGTGAGCCAAGGGGGTGGATGGGAGAGAGCAACGCAGAGTCCATCAGCAAGGCAGATTCCCTCTGGGAGCAATCCGGGACACTCAGCCTCAAACTTCAGCCTTCATTTAAAGGATCTCTTTCTGCACCTGTCCCTATTCAAGTATCCTAAACCCCTCACTAGCCCATGAGCTTGTGAGAGAGGAGCTAGGGAATACCTCTTCTGAGAGTGTGTACTATGCAAGTTGTAATGTACCTTGGCATGGGGGACAGCTGGGATATCCTGTCCCCAAAACTAAAACCATATTGAAAGAAGGCAAGGAAATATTTTTCTGAGGAAGTAACTAACAACAGCCAATTTCACTTAATGTGACTGTTCAGTTACTGAGAAATGTCAAGGTCTTGCCTTATGGCAAAGAGGGACCAAGCCCACACCCAGGGGACATATGTCTTGGGAGAGATGCCCAGGCTCCAGTTATCTTGATCCACCTCCTCAGGAATCCATCAGTCTTCCTAGCTCCCTGCCACTACCACAAATCAATCCATCAGACTCCTACATTCAAAGTCTTCACCTAACTTAGCTCAGTTGTTTTTGACAGTGTGATCCGGTACCATTTAGACCCTGTGGTCTCAAGGGGAGGAGGGTGCAGGGGTGAGGTAAAGGGAGAGGTGAGGGAGGTCATCTTTTCTCCCCTGCCTACTGCCCAGACTCAAGCAGTGAGATAAAGTTGCCACCTGTAACAGAGCTGAGACCCTGAAAATTGACCCCAATGCAGAGGAAGGTTTGAGGGTTTCTCTGTTCCCAGGACGGAGTTCACTCCTTTCCTGTGGAACCCCAGGGGCTACCCTGAGAGCTCCCTGGGTTGCTGATATGCTAAGAGGAGCTGGAGAATCACCAAAAGAGTTAAGAGAGAAGATTTGGGGGTGGGGGCAGGAGAACGTTGGGGTTACACTTCGCTTTTAAATGCATCACACTTGCACCAAATCAAATGAAAGAAATAGGGGAAGAAACAGTAAAAGTAAATAAGGATGCTTACGGGCAAGATGGGCTGCAGCTCTGGGTGACGAGTTTCTCAGTTCCCATCCAGGCCGTAGAGACTGCGGGCCAAGCGCCAGGAACAACCTACACTGCCAGTGAAATGTGCTCCAAACCCTCACCCAGTAGAAATGAGGAAAGACAGGAAACGTATCTATCTTTCTTTCCTCTTTCTTCCTGATATTTGTCTTTGTCTGCAATGTCTGAACTATTTTTTTTTTTTTTTGTAACAAAACATGGGAAAAGTCCTGTACCGACAATGTAATAACAATAATAATAATTATCTGGTAAAAAATAAAAGCTTCAGCAAAACCATGATAACAGTCTTTTTTCCTGCTTCATTTTTCCCCCTAAATGTGCAAAACTTAAAAAGTAAATCAAAACACACTCACTCATATACACACTCGCACAGAGCTTCCTTCCGGCAAATCTGTTAAATAGGTTTGTGTCTCTCTCCTCCCCACACTATCACGTGTGCAAAAATATTTCAGTGGCTGAGGTGCTTCCTCAGCCTGCTTCCCATATACACCCTTTCTGGCCTCCACTTTCTGTGGCTTTTTGGGAGAAAATAATTTAATCAGTGATAGCAATCCCATGCTTTTCCACCTGGTGCCTTATTTATCAAAACCTTTGGTTACATTTGTTTTCTCCTTGTAAATGAATTTTTTCTCATTGTCCTTTTCCTGCCTATTAGGTTGCTGTGTCTTTTCCATTTGTCCTCTGCAATGCCCCATGCTGCTCTGCTCTGGGTCACCGAAGTCCCAGCCTCAGCAGGTGAGTGCCCTGCTTTTCTATGGACAGATGACTTGGTCTCCAGCACTCAGCATAGAATGGAAGTGTTGAAATGTCCTGAAGCTGCAGGATGAATCGATGAGGCAGGGGACAGAGAAGAGAAACTCTTCTGCATCCTTCTACATTGGACAAAAAATCTTTTGGAGCTCTCTGCCTACTCCTGGGGCAGACACACATATACACACATGCTTATACATGCATGCTTACACACACACACACACACACACACACACACACACACACTTATTCATATCCAAAGGGCCTAGTGTTCTTGAAAGTGCAGGGTACCATGTGGACTCTGCTGGAATTGTGTGGCTCCTTTCTCACACAGGACTCATTTGGAGTGGAATGATGTCTGATGCTCAGAGAGTGAAGGCAAAACTGCTGGATCATTATTGACTCTGCCTTCTCCTGGCCTCCCGAAGTAGAGGACACCTCAAGGCCAGAGCTGTCAGAAGAGATTCCTACTTATGATGGAGACTAGACCACAGAGTGTTGGAGGGCCCTTCCAGATACAGGCTCCTGGGACCTACCACTAGACCACATCTCACCACAGCCCCTGCGCAGCTGGGACCCATTTCAGAGCACACATTTGCCTGACTGGCTGAGATGGCATACCCACAGACAGAAGGACAGATGGACAGATGGAGGCCAGGGCCACAGTCAACTGTGTGTCCCTCCCTTCCTTTCCAGCCAGTCCCTCAGCTCATCTCTCTAGTCCTTCCCAGCCATGACAAACTGGGGGCTGCGGCTGGCTGGCATTTGGTTTGCCCTGGTATGTCTGTGCTTGTGTATGTTTCTTCTAATGATGCTGTAGTGATGATGAAGAAGAACGACTAGAAATGCAGCCGAGGTGATGATGAGATAGTTTGCAAGGAGGTCTGGACAGCCCAGTGACAAAGTCATCTGCATAGCAATGGCACCAGATTCTGCAGGGGTGGGGGACAAGGACAAGGCTGTCTGCCCCAGCCTTCTAGGAAGTTCTCAAGGATGTAGGGGATGGAGCCTTGGAGATGGCTGGAGGTAGAATCTCCCGGATACACTCTGCATTTCACGCTGACGTTTGATGAATGGTGACACGGAGATGGAGACACCTCTAGACAGCGCTGGGGCTCTGGCAATGGACTCGACCTATGACTACTGGTGGAGATGCACTTGAATTCGGTGGTGAACGGAAAACAACAAACGCTTCTTCTAGGGCAGATGCAGCCCTCTTACATTTTCTCCCCCTCCACGTTACATTTCTGCTGCTATGAGCTAGATTAGAAGGTTAGGGGCATCGCCATGGTGGAATGTAACTGCTATGTTTTCTTCTATCTGCTTTTCCACAGGCAGGGGAAGAGGCTGGGCAGGAAGGTCTGTATGGATGCTTGGAAGGGCTCCACGGAGACTCCGAGGGGACAGGAGACCTCTGAGCACCAGCCCAGCAGGTAGGAGCCCGCCCGAGGAGCACCTCCCAACTCCTCATACAGTTCCCACTCCAGCTGTACGTGGAAGGTGAGCTCTCTGTTCTCACCATTTGCAAAGCACCCAGACCACTGACTGGCTCCTTGGAGATGGATGCATGGGAAGGGAGAGTCAGGCCACATCTTCCCAGTGAAGATAATACTGAACTCACTGTCTCTTCCCTAAGCCAAAATTTGGACCATTCTCCAAGAAAAAGGCGAAGTAGCAGCATTAAAAAATGTTCTCTGTCCACAGCTCCTCATCCACATTCAGGACCTGCTGCTGGTGTGTGGGGTCAGAAGCAGCTGGGAAAGGGCCCCACTCTGACATCTTCTGGTCAGATCCCTCGCTGTGGGCCTCGTGGCCACCAAGCAGTATCTGACAATTGGTGGCTTGGTCCAATCATATTGGCAGAGAAACTGAAAGAGAAGAGGACCAGGAAGGAGGGAGAGACAGAAAGAAGCAGAGAAATGGGGGGGGGGAGAGACAGCACTGCTCAGGGGATGCTGCTGATGCCAGTCGAAACTTGCACTTGGTAAAGATGATAATCTAGACTGAGGCACGGCTTGGTGTGTCCCCCTCCAGGGTGGCCCTGGAAGGATGGTTCTCAGCTGTCTAAGCTCATGAGGGTTATGACTTGTTCTAGTTTGTAGGCCAATTTCTGCTTCCCACACTGATCATCGTGGTCCAGGGGTCCAAGAATCTGTGAAAGGGCCAAGGAGGAGGATTACTAGTTTGCATGTGTCCACTTGTATCCCTAGGGCAAGCACAGCCAGTGTGGTCACGGTCAGGGGGTGGGGAAAACATGAGTACCTTCAGACGCATGTGTGACATTTCTGGGTAAATGGGCAGCCTGGGTGGCATGTACGGGAGGCCCTGGGCATGGGGCACAGCGTGGCCAGCAGCGGAGGATGCTGACGCACACATTACTCTCAGGAGCTGGCTAAATGGTAGCTGCACACAGAGGCCACCTACAGGTTCATACCCAATGGGACAGTGTGGTGCTGAGTGTAATGTGAATGTGACTTTACTAATATGAAGAAACCCTACCCCTCCCTCAAAAACAGGAAAAACTGTCTGGATCAGATTCTTGGGGCCCAAACATTCACATCTAGTAACGCATTTGGCTTAACTGCCTATTCAAAACCAAATACATCTCGAGGAGCTGACTATAATCTTTACTGGTCATTAAGCCTACAAAAGCCTTCTCTGAGCTTAAGTGGCTGGTGGAGGACAAGGAGAGACAGTGATTGTGATATGTGTAGAAAATACATTAGGAATTCCTGTAGACTCCGGAGATATGTGACTCAGTGCTAACTGGGTCTCTAGCTGAGTGAATGGGGGTAAAATAAGAGACCTTTCTGTATGAACTCTGTCTCCTTGTCCATAAAATAGGAGAACCATACTACCCAATCTATGATTTGCTCCAGTGTCAAGGCTATAGTCAGGAGCCACAGATGAGTTTCTTAGCACAAAGTTAGCTCCACAGTAGACAGCTGCTGTCCAACACAAGTAGGTGGGATATCCTGGGGGCTGGGTCTAAGGACCAGAAAAAGGAGACAGGAGAGAAGTAGGAGACTGGCAGATGGAAGTAGCTTCCCAGAACTTTGGATTTAATGACCAGCTAATGTATTTTCAGTTGGGAAAACAAAGCTGGAATTGCTTGCTTCTGAGATGCCAAGAACTGCTACTTACTGGCAATATCATTTCATAAAGATGGGACATTCTGACCCAGGAGTGACAAGTGCACTTGTAGGCTAAGGGACAGTTCTTTTCAATGTTAAGTAGTCACAACCTCACACTGATGTATATAAATCATTATCATTGTCTTGCCTTCCCACAGGTGGAGATTCTGTCCCAGGATCAGTGTGGGTCTGAGACTGGTATCACAGGTCCACCCCACAAGGGACACGTGGCTGGCTCTTCTTTGAATTGAGTTCTAGAATATACTGTTCATGGCCTGCAGAACACTAGGCTCTGGGTCTGCAATGACATCTTTACCCAGGGTTCCTAGACCCTCTTTGGGTGACAGAGCTGTGGGGAGACAGAGCTCTGGGGCACCAGCTTCAATTCCTGTGACTGACTTCCACTTCGAGGCAGGGAATCTGGATTCTGAGCCCACCTGATCCATAGCTGCATGGCCAGGAAAGCTCCATACAGCACCTTAGTACTGACCAGGAAGACAGCAGAACCTATAGTGATGGTTGTTCCAGGTGGAATTTTTCAACTGGGGAATATAGCAACTAAAACACATCCATTCTGTTCCATCCTATCCTGTCCTGTCCTGTCTTGTCCTATGCCATCCTGTCCCATCCCGTCCCATTTTATGCTTCTATTTTATTCTCACCTATCTTGCTTTTGCTCAAGTCAATCCTATTCTACTTTATTCTATTCTTTTTTGTTGCGTTCTATTTTGTCCCATTCTATTCTATTTCATCCTATTCTATTCTGCTTCTGTTCTGTTCTGATCCATTCTACAAAACTATATCACACCATAACATATGGCCTGGGGTATAGGAAAGTGCTTTTTCAAAGAAATTAGAGCAGAGAATGATGGAAAAAATAAAAAAGGAGATAGTGGGATGAAAATAAAATGCCTGCTTAGACAGATGCAGGAGTCAGGGTTCAGCACCCCCAGGGTGTGCTGAGACTGGGTGTGGTGGTGTGTGTCTGTAATCCCAACACTTGGGAGGCTGAAAACAGGAGAATCACTATGAGTCTGATCTACATAGTGAGATCCTGTAGACCCTGTACTAAATACATTTTTTAAAAAAAGAATAAAAAGGGGACAAATGAAATAAGCCAGCTGTGTGTAAAAGAACAGGAATGAGTGCAGAATGGATGGGACAGAACATCGCCAGGTCCCCACATTTGCTGCATTTCCCTGAGTAGCTGAGTTTCCCAGTGGAGCTCTAAAGGGGTGCTGATGGGGCTGCGATGTACATGGAGGCATGCAGGGCCACCCCCTCTTCCCTCCTGGAAGGCTGAGCAGGGCAGAGCTCACCTCCTCGCTGTATTTGCCTACATAGGAGAAGATCTCTGAGAGCGCACTCATAGTGTTGAACTCATTCATGTGCATCCGGGACTGCTCAGCCAGGTACGCATTCATGTCTTGGTCACTGATGGCGGGCATCTTCCCAATGTCAGAGTAATACCTGCCGAGGGGTGCAAGAGAGAGAAGCTGGAGTGGTGCACAGAGTACCCAGAAGAGATGGAACCTGTGTTCCTCAGGGGAGTTTGCGCCATGGCCGCTGGGGACCACAGTAGTCTCTCTCCCACATGGACCTCTGTGACAGCTATGGGTGAGCCTTCTCCATCTCTGGAGGCTGGAGGCCGGCGGTAAGACACTATAGAAAGGTGGCCAGAAGGGGAAGGAGGAAGAGGGCTCTTGCTTCAGAGGGCTGCTATGCTCCCACCTCCTGTGCGGAGGTCCAGCCCTCTTTGTGTCCCCCCGGTGTCTCCTCCCAGAGCCCCAGGCCTCCTGCAGTAGGCCCAGAGGGTCCCTGTAACAACTGCTCTTCCCTGGTGTCCTGGGCTATCCCTGGGTTAACAGAGAGGGGCGGAGGCTGGGGGCTGCTGGGAGAGAGAGGCTGGCAGAAGGCAATCAGTCACTGTCACTTGCAGCTGTGCACTGCTGTCAACTGGTTAATTAGATGCCAGCATTTACATTTTTAATTTCTGCAATTTGACATTTTATGCACCAGACCCCAACTCCCCTGCCAGAGGGGAGCTGTGCAGTTTCCTAATGAGAAAATGGAAGGCCCCAGTACCCAGACGATGGCCACTTCTGTCTCACCTTCTCCTACACATTTTGCAGCTTGTAGATGGCAAAAAACAGAAGAGGAGGCAAAGACAGGGAGCACCGGCAAGCCCAGGAGGCCTGTGGTGGCCGGCCCAGCCCACACAGTCCTGGTGTGCCTGGCTGGAGAACGCAGCCTGAAAACCTAGGGTGGCGGGGGAAGGCACGTGGGCACCCAGCTCAGGGAAAGGCACCGGCTCAGGGAGAGGCACTGCCGATGACAGGAGGACAGTGACAGGTCCTGGAAGTTCCTAGGACCTTATGCTTTATGGGGTGACACAAGGTAGACGATATCCTGAGAAGATTCTTGGACAGTCCCACCCTGCACTCTGGGTCTTTCAACTCCAGCAGCACATGTACCCCAGAGCTTGCCTGTGCCCAGCAGAGTCCAGGAGTTGAGTGATGGGCTGGCAGGCAAGGCTCAAGGGACCACAACAGCATGACAACTCAATTGGCCACTAGAACACTTCTGGGCAGGCAAGGGCCAAGATGGCTGAACCACCCTGCTGGTCCGAGACCAGTCATCTATCCTCACAGGGAGATGAAGCCTGTTCCTGAAGGGAAGAGCTACTCAGAGAGACTCCTGTGGCCCTGGGGAACTCAGCCTCATGTTGCATTTCGGCTGGCCCAGAGGCTGACCTGTGACACATGGCCAGACTGGAAACAAGGATGAGAATAGCCCAAGGGCCTGATGAGGACCTGCTGTTCTTGGCTATGGAAATGTCAGTGTCCCATTTCACAGCAGGAGACCAGGGGTCCTTTAAGCAGGAACAGTGCTGCTTTCGTTCTGGAGACTAAAGCCAGCAGCTGGCTACCAGGCTCTGGTAACATAGCCAGGTCCCAGGTCTTATCCAGATAGTTCTGCTCTGTCACCCTTGGACAACCAGAGCCTAGTCAGACCAGGATAAAAACCCAGCTTTGCCCTGAGACAACTGTCATCAGAAGTCAAGCCTCCTGGGCTGGAGAGATAGCTCAGCAGTCTAAGTGCCTGCCTGGCAAGAGCAGGAACAGGTGTTCAATCCCCGGTACCACATGCCTTACCAGCTCTGGAATCTCAGGTGTGCCATGCCAGCCACTATGACTAGGCATGGTGGTGCACACCTGTAATCCCATACTGGGAAGGCTGAGGCAGGAGGATCACTATGAGTCTAAGCTGCATAATAAGACCCAGTACTAAATAAATACAAGATTAAAAAAAAAAAAGAAAAGAAAAAAGAAAAAGTTAGCTCCCACTACTGCTGTTACTTCCCATAAAGCCTGGCACAGGGAGATGGATGCTTCTGCCAGCTTTGTGCAAACAGCTCCAGGGCTGTTCCATTCTAGTGTTTATGGTCCCTGATGTAGATGGGGGCCCAGGCTGCCACTAGCCCCAAGGCAGGGGGACCCTTCCCCACTGGAAATGAGAGATGCCATGCCTCATCATGGCTTGCCTCATGGTAGGATGATAAGAGCCCAGCTCTTCTTTCCAAGGAGAACGTTGGGGAAGTATACGCGCATGAGGAAAGGAGAGTGAGGGGAAGGGTCTGACGGCAGGCTGGGAGGTTGAGAGCAGAGTGTGTAAGACTCGGCCTCAAACCTTCTTTTCTGAAGCTGCTGGATGACACACTCTCCTGGCCCAGCCTGCATTCTTCTCCTGGACGTGGGGCCACACCCACACTGAGCACTCTGCCTCTTCTTTCCTGCCTTTTCCCAGAGGCTGATGGATTGAGCTAGTACACATCCACAGCCCCATGATAGCCCGCTGGTGGGTCAACAGTGTGTCTTCATGTTCCACAAGTTCTTTGTGGGCTGAGCCTGGTGACCACAAGCAGCTTGGAGTGCAATGGGTAAGGTTCCTGCAATCTGGCTGCCTTTGCAGCCTGGTAGGACCCTGGCTGCTTGTTGTTCCATCCTCTCTGCGGGGTGTTCCTGATGCTTCCTGCTCCCATCTGGAGCTCTGCGCAGGCCACCCCTTAACTGTACACCCACGTCTGGGCCTGCTGATGACCCTGCCGACAACGCTGCCATATGCGTAACTGCTCCCTTCTCGCCCCCTGTGTGGGGATTGTCTACTGAGCTGCTCCATTGATTGTAAAGAATGTAATTAAGCTGCACTAATGAACTTCACCCAAGTGTTCTCATCAGTGGGTTGTGCAGTGAGGAAGGGAAAGGTGAGCCTACACCCTGGACTTGAACTTGTTCCCGTGGGACCTCTGCTTGCCTCTGAGCCTTTTTTCAGAAGGCACTGATGCTCTGAATGTCCCCTGGGACCCTTCTGGAGCTGGCTTTCCTCTGGAGTCAGCCACAGGCACAGCCTGGCTAGTGGAGATGGGGTGCGTGTGGTACTGCATTGCAGAACCAGTACTTTGAGATAGCTATCTCGGGTAGCGGTCCACTCGAAGGGAAGGGCCCCATCCAGGCACTGTTCCTGTAGCCCAGAATGTGTGTCCCACCCCAGCCAGCCCCAGCCACATTCACCTCTCCACCCAGCTCTTATAGCTGGGGATGTCCTTGGCATACAGCAGCTTGTTAGAGGGAGAATCCTTGCCCAACCGGTGCTCCGAGGTGGAGCAGGAGTCCATGAAGGTCTGAGCCACGACAGAGAGGCAGGCATCTGTGATGCTGTTCTTGTGGATGTCAAACACAAACTGTGGGTTCTTGATCATGTTGACCCAAAACCGCAAGGGCAGGCTGCACGGAGGGAAAGACAGAAGGTCAGGGGTGACAGCAGGAGCTGCAGCACTTCCAGAGTACTCTGGGGAAGGAGCCGTGGCAGAGTTTCACAGAGCTTCGGGGGTTTCTGTAGGCCTGGATGGGGTGCGCTGGGCCCCCTGTTCCCTCCCAGAAATCTACAGCTCACCAAGGCAGGATCATTCACCCAGAAATACAGTGTTGCAAGGGATTGGAGAAGGCTTGGTACACAGCTGGGAAGCAGGGCTCAGGGACTCTTGCCTTTGGCATGAGAAGCTGCCAAGATGCATGCTATGAGATAGAATTTCTTTTTTCTTTTTTAAAGAGAATACAAAATTGTAGTAAAAAATTAGAAATGATACAGAATTTTACTAAACAAAATAATATGAATTTGACAGTACTTGTTGTATTGCAGTGTTGACTTCAACTTAGTTGTTCAGATTACCAGATACATGCATGGAAAATGGGGGGAAAAAAGAAAAAGAAAAAAATGTTATAAGAAATTAAGAAAAGAGAAAGAGGGAAAAAATTTAAAAAGAAGACTAAGAAAGTAAGCATTCACTGCTCCTTTCCATAGACCAGCAGAAATCCATAGCACTACTATCTAAGTCATTCTGCATACATACATAGGTATACTGTCTATGCCTCTGTCCCTTCAACCCCACACTGTGCTGGGCATGGAGCATCCAGCTGGCAAGCTTTAAGAAACCATCAGGACTATCGATTTTGCATCTGACCTCCTGCCACCTAACTGGAAGATTAGGCCAAGTCACCCCATCCTCCCTGGTTCCTCTGGCTCATTTCTGCCTGGCAAAGGTTCTATGGGAGATAACATAGTGCTTGTTCACTAATAGGCATCTGGACCCTCCTCTCCCCTTCCACCAGTGGGCACCACTGCTTGCTGGGAGCTGTGCTAGTGACAGGGGATGCAATGGTTAAGACACAGCCTCTGCTTTCAAGAATCTTCATGATAGTGGGTTTGTGGGGGAGACAGGTGAACTAGGCTCATAAGCTAGTAGTGCTAGAAGCAGAGAAGGGTGGGGTTCAGGGTAGGACCCTGGAAGGTTCAGAGCCACCCAGTGGGCAGGGTCTACAAAGCCTGCACAGAGAGGATACTTGTCAGATACATGCATAGGCCAAGCATGGTAGCGTTCATCTATAATCCCAGCACTTTGGTAGGCTGAGGCAAAAGGATCTCAAGTTGGAGCCCAGCCTAGGCAGTTTATTAAACTACTGAGACCGTGTTTCAAAATCAAAAAAACCCCAAAAGATTGAGGATATTGCTCAGCGTGAAGGCCCTGGGTTCAATACCCACTATTGCAATAAACAAAGCAAACAAAGCCTTACACAAAGGAGTTCCTTAGCTGGGCAAAGCCTGGAGGAAGTGGCAGGAAAGGGCAGCAGATGGGATCAGCAGAAACAGAGACAAAGAAGAGACAATTATGCTTTATGTCTGGTAGTTTAAGCCACTGATGCTTGCAAGAGAGAGTCCTGGGCTTGGGTAGAAGCCTGTCTCTACCTCTTTGTCTCTGTGACTTCCAGCCAGCCTCCCACAATGCAGGGAAGAAAGAGGTGATTCCGGCTAAGGAACACTTATTTTGCCCCCTCTGCTGTCACTCCATGCCTCCTGCCCTGTCCCCTGATGCTTTATTGTTGTTTTGGTGGCTGTTCTCACCATTGGTGAGAGTTACAAAGCACACACATTTGGCTTGCCTCTCAGAATGTAAACACTTTGAATATCATTTTCAGTGTGGGGAGTACAGTGTCTCTCTACTCACTGTACCTGCCAGAAACCCATATGTACAAACAAGAAATGCTGTTTCTACAGTAGGACCTGACATTCAAGATCATCAATCAACTAACAAGTATTGTAACAAGTGTTTGTTAAATTCCTACAGCAAGTGCTTTGCAGGATGCTGGCAAGCACACTGAGATCTGATGATATGTGGTAGTATTTGCTTCACTGTTGGAGACCCAGGATAGGAAAAAGGGGTGGCATCCAAGGACAGCTGAGAGAGTCACTCAACACATGGGTGAAGGCACATCACTGTAGCTGCCCAGCCTTCCCTGGGGAGATCAAGATCAGGGAGCTCAGAGCCTTCCACGAAGGACTCCCAGACTCCCAGCTCACAGTCTCCTGACTCCAGCTTCCTGGCATTCCAGGTGTCCCTTCCAGAACGGGGATGCTGGGGTCTACAGAGTCCACATTTGCTGCACTGGTTGCACCCCATCCCCCATGCCAGTTGTGATGACAGGTACATCAAACAGGGCCATCAAGGCACCACTACCGTGGTTCTTGCCTAATTAAATATTAGCATATTATTAACATTAGTAGTGTCACGAATCTCTGGTTGATTGCAGCCACTCAGGCTAAATGAGCAGGAGGTTTATTTAAAAGAAAAGGTAGGGAGCTGCGGCAGAGGAGATGGGAGCACTATTATACCTTGGGCCAGGATTAAAGAAACAATCTCTTCTCAATCAGGGACAATAAACTCTGCATCAATATAAAGATCTCATAATTCCTGACTGCTATTTGCCTGGGGAGCAGAAGATCAGTGAGGGAAATGTCCATCAGAGGGACAACTTGAGCCTGGCACTGCTGTCTACTTCCTAGGCTCTCCTGCCCCTGGACTTGGAATTCTAAACACCGAGTACTTTGAAGAGCTGGCAGAGAGGCAGGGTTGCCTTCAGTCCAGGGACAGTGTGGCTCCCTTGAGGGAGCGCAGCAGAGGTGACAGGGTAGGGACAGAGGTGTAGGTGGCAGGAAGTAGCTCTTCCTGTAATGGACATCTGAAGGCTCAAGGGATGATCTGAAAAGGCAAGGCCAAGAGACATCTGGACAGAGCACTTCCTGCCTCCTGAAGCTGCTGATGTTCTGGATCAGCGCCAGTCATGCCAAAAAAAGGGGGAGAGGAATTCAAACACACTGTGCCCACAGCAGGCCAGGAAAAACCTAAGTGGAGGAATCATCAGGAAGAACTGGCTCCTCCAACCCTGTGTTGCTGCACGGATCATCGGGGAAGCCAGAATCCAAAATGCCATGGGAGATCGCTCCTCAGTGTTCAGTTGGCGGAAGAGCTCCTCTTCAGCTCTGTGGGCCGGATGTCCATGTGGCTGTGGTGTCCATCCCCATGCACAGCACAAACTATTCTCCTCTGAGCAAAGGAGAGGAGGGCCCAGAGTGCACCCCAGCTGTGGTGGATAGGGTGGGGTTTCATCTTGACTGGCTGTGGGACTTACCCCGAAGTTCAGTGGAGCACACTTCTAGGTATGTCTGGATGGGTCGTAGAGGCACAGCTTTCTGGTCTGTATCTGGTCCCCCATCCTCCCATGAACAAATCAGCTTACTATGCCACACCCTTCTACCATGATTTTGATGCCTTGGAGCCATCTGATCATGTACTAAAACCATGAGCAAATCAAAGTTCTCTGTTAAGGTGTAGGTATGGGATGTTGTGTCTCAGCGGTGAGAGAGCAGACTAATCAATTTCCACATGCCAGCCTGACTTTAGCATTTCTTGTGTCCTGGTCTGGGGCAAGAGCTGGTTGTAGGGCACCTATCTGTTCCCAGGTGTCATGGTGGTCCCAGTAATAAGGAACAGTGGGCTCTGGGACCTTTCTGCCTTGACAAAATGATCCAAGGAGAAGCAATCCAAACAGGGATCAGGTAAAGGTTCTAGAGAGGCGATTCTGGAATGGATGGACCTGAGAATTGGCCAGCTTTGCCCAAGAAGAAACTCCAAACAGAGGCTCTTGTGGCCCTGCATCTCATCAATACTGATTAGGCCCCTCTTCCAGCTTGCAAGGCTCCATGCTGCAGGCAGAATACTGATGGGTGACCTTGGAATTTCTTTTTTAAATTTTTGATTGATTGATTGATTGATACATGCTACTGGGGTTTGAACTTGAGCTTAAACTTGGCTTCTTGCACTTGCCAGGCAGGTGCTTAGATTCTCCAAGCTATCTCCCCAGCCCCTGACCTTGGAACTTCAACCTGTAATATCAACTACACATGTGTGGAAGGAAGTGTGTTATATGTTAGAAGTGAGAGGAGACCATGGTGGAGACACACAAGTGTCACAGTACTTACAGACTCCTGGGGTCTGACACAGAGTGGTTCTAGGCAGGTGACTTGCCCAGCCAGGGTTTAGAAAGGGAATTCATGGGGGAGGGAAGAGGGCAGCTTATTAGGTAGAACAGAAATGGCCCTTCAGTTGTGGATGTGTTTCAAGATCCCACTTATAAGTCACCATGATATTTCTGTCCTCTGTGGTTCCACTGAACACACTAAGCACCTATCAGAGCATTTGTCTTTCTGTCCAGACGATGCTTTAGTCTAGGATCCCCAACGTCTCATGTAATATCAGGGACCCCAGAGACACCAGGATATGAGTGGCCTTGCCGGGCTGTAGGCATGCTATCTTTTTCTTGTTGAGCTAGTTCAATAAGTGTTTGTTGACTGACTGAGAAGAAAGATGCATAGATTTGAGGAGAGGAAAAGGGAGGAGGAAGTAAGCAGAAAAACACAACTGGAGGGAGGTGGAGGATGGCCAGGGTGTCCGTGGAAGGCCTGGGTCCTACACTAGCTTGGGGCTGGGAGCACGGGGTCACCAGCTTCGCATGCCACATGGCCCTCCTTCCACTCACCAGTTGCTCTTCCAAGTGTGGCGGACGTGGGGATCATGAATGCCGTGCTTGTCAGCCTGCTCGTCCAGGAAGTCAAACATGTACTTGATGGCCAATGGCAGGGCCGAGCCACGGTGGGCGGTACTGAAGATGGTCTCAAAGAGGTCATCGACAAACTTCTGCAGTGTGCCCTGGGGAGGGGGATACCTTCAGGCCTGGCTACACCCAGGCAGCTCTGTGGAGGGGTATGTAAAGTTGCCCTGGGAATGAGGAGGGGGAGCTTGGTGAATAGCCTCCTCTGTCTAGATGACCTTGGGTGACCTTGGGTGGGTCCAGGTGTGCATCTTTCCCTTTTACCTGCCTCTGACAGCTTTAAGCTTCCTCTGCTCAGGTATAGCAGACATCACAGCAGTGGCTGGGCCTGAGCAAGCCTTCCTCTGTGAGCCACATGATCTGGCTCCGCATTCTGGGGTGGTGTCATTTTAACACTTTTCATAAACGCTAATGAGCATGCACTTGGTCAGAGACAGCCGACAAACACAATCTACTGGTTTTGTGTGGGCTTTGTGCATATAGGCTAATGAACAATTACGCACCCAGCTCTGTGGAGACCCAGCAGGCCCTGTCTCAAAAGAGAAGGAGCGAAACTACAGGCAGGAGCTGCCCCCAGGACCAGGATTAGAAATGGTGCCTGGAAAGTCCCCAAAGGAGCCTCAACTACCATCCCTGGTGACAGTATAAGATGCCCCAGGGAAAAAGTGACTTGCTTACGTGGCACGGTGGAGACAGTGGTAGGTGGAGGTGGCATGTCTGTGCTGGAGAAATGGTACAGAGAAGGGAGGATTGTGCTCCCACAGTGCTATCTTAGTGGGGCTTGCCTGTGCCCAGGGTTGAGCAGGCTGCTGAGGTCTGTTCCAGGGAAGAGTCCTGGCCTCACCAGCACACCTGCCATGGCTGGGCAAGAGTCTCGTCAGCACCAGCATTTCTGTGGGCAGATGACATCCATCCTGTGCCCCCCAGAATCCTGGGATCTGCTCTCGTGCCCAATACCTTAGTGGCTAGGAGCCGAGTCAGATAGATCTCAGACACCATCTTGCTCCCCCGGTCACCCTCTTTCTGGTCCCCATGCTCGTGGTTCTTCACCAGGTGCCACATCTTCACTCCACTCTCCAGGTCAGGAGTGATCATGGGAGTTCGCGAGCGGAGGCTGTCTGGGCTGCCTGTGTACCGGATCATGTTTTCTGCCAATACAAGGAGTACCCCACAGTGGGTGTGAAGCCACACAGTCCTGTACTGGCTACCTCACAACACAGCCCTTGCCCTGTCCAAGACTGACTGCTGCCTGATCCTTCCCGCTGCTGCCTGGCACTGTCACTTTCCTCTGTTTGGTACATTGGTACATTGGTACACTGCCTGAAACACAGATGCCTTTCTCTCCGCCTCCAGGAAACTATCTGCGCCTAATTCCACCCACTCAGATTTCCCCACCCTCCCTCTGGTACTTTGCATCAAGTCAAGCCTTAATTATTCAATTTGTGAAAATATAAGCTTGTACTCCTCTTACATGTGTCCTTGCATGAATTCTCAAGTCCTGTCTCCGGATGTGCTCTGTGCAGCCAATTAAGTATGTATTCAAGAATAGGTAGCCTGTCTCCCTTAATAAATGTTGACCAGCTAGGGCCTTGCCTGCATTCTGCTCACCTACATCCTCCCCTCTGGCCCGGCACAATTCTTCCCACTGACTGCTGAAAGTCCTGGCTCAGTGACATGAGGATGATGGTCCCACTGTGTGGCACTGCTCTATGGACGCATGGATTTATGATCCACAATGGTCATGTAGGTTTGACTGTCTCTTCAATCCCTGTTTTCCTGGTAACAACATCAAGGCTCATGATGGTCCCATGTGGTTGGCCCTGAAGCACAAAGGTGGTGGCAGAACAGGGTCCCTACCCCGTATTCCCACCCCTTTCTCCTCAGCTGCACCACCTTAGATCTAGACCTCCCCCTCCGTCCATCTGCATAATAATGGTGCGACCTTTATAGTCATTTAGCTGCTGTGCGTCTGAGGTATAATTTACTAATCTATATAATAGGGGGAAAATAATAATTACTTAATTCACTGGGTTGTTATGAACAAGATGTGAGACACTGAAAGTTGTAAAATGGAAAGTGTTCTATAGATTGGAAGATATTGATGAAGGTTATATTCTCTTCTCTAGCTCATAAATGAAGTTCCTGGTCATGCATTCAAGTTACAGACTAGAACCAGGTGCCTTGGTCACAACCTGGTCCTCCTCCCTTCTAGTGAACTAGCACAACTCACCCCAGCTGTGGCCCCATGGGCCCACTGGCTTCCAGCTGTGCCTTCACCATAACAGCTGCTTAGGATACCCTCATCTCTTTGGGACATCTGATAAACTCTTACCATATTTACTTGCTGAGGTTCTGGAGACTGTGGAGTTGTTCACTGCATTATAGGCTGTCACCTGCTTGGACACTAAGGCCACCACAGAGCCATCTGGTACCTAGAGGGAAGAAAAAGCTTCTAAAGGCATGGGCATAGAAATTCTGCCACCTCAGGAAATAAGAGGTTGTTCTTAAATGGCAGTCAAACACCTTGCTGGAGAGCCTGGGGACATTGGAGGCTGCCCCCTTTCCTCTGCTCCCTGGGAGACCACCCAGCCTTAAGTGCCCAGGGAACTTCTGAGGGAATGTGTTGTACTGGGGACTCTACCCAAGCCCTGTGGCACCCATGCATGTCAGTATCCTCTTTCCAAAGAGACCAGGGGTTCCTGGCTGGGTGATGTCACTTTCCCTTGGGTCAGCAAGAGAACATGAATTGCTAGTGCAAAAGTAGGTTGTGATGTGGTGTCTAGTCTTGTGGTGAACCTGTAGTCAAGAACTGAGACTTTCAGGAAAATGGCCAGCTACTTGGCCAGCTCCTATCTTCCGTATTCACCTCACCTGGTAATGGGCCAGGGTGTTTAGCCTCTTCCAGTCATTTTCAATTTTGGTGGTGATGTCTTCATCTTGAAGGATCATCCTTGCCCCACTTCCTTGTCGCCACTCTGTGGGGAGAGTGGTGGCATCTCAGGGAGGCCCTCCTGTCCCTCCTGGGGAGATCCTGAGGGCCCCACCTAGGTGTCTACACAGCACGATCTTGAGGCCACATCTGCAGACAGACAAATGCCAGAACAGGCTCCCAAGAGGGTAGGTGAACACTCTCACAATGCAGAGAGGTCTAGAGTTCCAGTTCTGGTTCTAATCCCAACAAGCTATGTGACAAAAATAAGGATAACATCACCTATCCTCTGCTACCTGTTTGCCGAGTGGCCATATCTGCAAGAGGTAGACAGTCATTATGTATTGTCTAGATGAAGGAGGCACTTAACACTAAGCACTTACAACACAGTTGGAAGATGCAGTAGACAGAACAGGAGGCAGAGTCCTCACTAAGCATTACATACAGGCCTGATTGCCTGGTCTGGAGCTGAGGAAGTCAAGACTGCGTGTTTAGTTATTGTACACTTGTACCTATTCCAGGTATAGCCTGTACTCTAAAGTTGGCAGGTGAGTGGGTTGCCTTTGCAAGAATGCCCAGGTAAAAATATGTGAACTGTTCTCATCTAGAAGTATCTCCAAATCCATAAAGCTGATGTGGATAAAGCCAACTGTGGCATCTACCAGGAAACTAAGTATTGTCACGCTGCAGGTCTACCCTTCCATCCTTCCTCAGCTATGCCTGAGGAGACCGAACACCCCCAGCTTGTGGGCCACATGTGGGGAAACGAGAGGCTGCTTCCCATTACCCAGATCTCCCCACTGACTCAGTACAGGTCACACATGGAGAAATGCATTCCAGACTTAAAATCACACATGTGGAGGTCCATGTGTATGGCAGCCCTTCTGCACACAGACACACAGATAGACAGAAAGACAGACAGACAGACAGACAGACAGACA